CCAGGAAGCATCACTTCAATTACAGGCGACAACATAGATGGAGATGTCAAAACCAGAATCCGAAGAGTAAGACAAACCTTTGCCGATCCCTTCTCTGTATTTCAAGTGGAACATAAGGCTTCAAGCTCCCGGCTTTGAATTTTCAGTTCCAGCGGTGGTTTCGTCACTGAGGAAGAAGATAGAGTTGTTAATTTCGTCTTTTGAGGTCTTACTGTCATGTAGGTGGGGTTTAAGAATCCAAGAACATAAATCAGCCGTGAAAAGACACGATATACATTCTTTAGTATCAATGCATATAGACAATTATGGACATCAATTTGATTGGGATAATGTCGAAATCTTAGACAGAGGAAACACCAAAAGTGCTTTCAGGGAATTGCTAGAAGCCTGGTACTCAAACGAAAATGCAGTTAACAAGCACGTCAATACATATGTAAAGATGGTTAGGCTATCAGGAGACGCAATTATATCACTCATGAAGAAATTAAAATCATTTCACTTTATGCCAAATATTGCGCTGAAGGTGTTGTCCAGCAGGGGGACGACGAAAGCTTGGCAACTAAACCAACCAGCTCAGAGAACACTATTAATTGAGGTTTAAGGGTGCACCAGCTGAGAATCAAACTCGAACCACGTGCGTATTTATCGAGCTTCCTTCCACTGAACCAGCAATACACCGACTAGATAATACATATTCTTCCTTCTGTAGGGATCAGTGAGGATGGTGACTTGGTCTCACGAAACAGTATCGATATTGTATCTCATAGCTGACAGAATGTCTTCTGATCGGTAAACAGTTCAAGGAAAAAAACTTTGAGAAAACCCTACACTCTAGTAATAATTGTGATAAATCAATCGATACTTAAAATGGAGAAGTGTTACTAAGATATGACGTCATTATCTCTTATGATTTCTCAAGATTTTAGACCTAAAAGTTTATTTCATTGTTAGAAAATTCTATTAATTTATCCGTCACATAGAAAGAAAGAAAAAGTTCAGCGATGAGTTACTCTTTTCATGGGTGATATCATTCTCAACCTGTTTAATCGCATACACAGTCACAGTTAATTTGTCCTAGCAACATAATGAATGTTTCCAGAGATCCGTCAGTAAAATCTCTAGTTTTAGATGACAGTTACTCAATAGAGAAAACACTAACTGGTTGCAAACTAAATTGAAGCAAGCAAAACTGAGTTGTTATTTTTCCTTCACGTTCCCCGGTGGAACATAGGGCTTCAAGCTGGTGGCTTAAAGTTTCTGTAGCAGTGTTATTATTTTACAGGATGGGGTTGCTAGCCTCATCCCCAACCTTTCCTCTTCACCAGAATTATTTCTGGCCTGGTGAGGTAAAGGAGTGCGTCGGCCGGAGCAAAACTGAGTGACGTAACATAATTGACAGGATTGAGTACAGATTAGCTAACAGTGAAACAGGGTCAAGTTAAGATCAATGTGATGAGGAGTAGAAATGTAGTAAAGAGAAGGGAGACAATATGGGCCTGTTTTAGGTTCAGTGACTGAATAAACATTTTCTGTATACACAGTTCGGGATCTAACATTGTCGAATTACTTCGGGAAGATTTCTGCATACTGTGTAGATGGAAGAGTTGGTTAGGTGTCCAGAGGTGATCAGATGTTTCAGAATACAACTGCAGAGGGTGATGCAAATGTTCGATGGTACGTTTGGATAACAAACGCAAAATATCTCCGACATACCTAGATCCACAGCTGCAGGTTAATTGGTAGATACACATTGAAGTAGCCATCTGTAGTATGTTTAGCCGAATAACAGAAAGGGTTTATACGCGTGTAGTGTGTGCGTGTGTTTGCGCATGCATTTGAGCATGTTTGTTTTAAAGTGTTCACACTGACACAGCGTGAATCATGTCGAAGTTAAAAATTTGTATTGCTCATATTGTGAAAATCATGCCGGTAAGGTAGATATACCTCAAAATAAGGAATGTCGATTCGTTGCATCTATGTGGTTTGGAGACTAGGCGAAGCGTTTCCAAAAGCCTACCTCAGACATTAGTCAGTACTTCCCTTCTACTGTTGTTACTCAATATCAGATTGCTTGCAGGGAAAGATAAGCCACCTGGAACTATATCAAAGAACTAGCTATGAGCCTTTCACTCTGTACAGATGTGTTGAAGGAAATGAGGATGGAATAAAAATACAAGCCAGAACCTCCAGTGGAACCCGAATGGCAAACCTTTGACTTGGGTCTCAAACCGAGTGTGAAAGAAAAGAGATCCAGTTTGGAGTAATTATGGAACCAACTTAAAAAAAAGCGCTTAAACAATCAAGTGAAATAATAACAGATGGTCTGCTGAAGCCTTATGTTCTAATCGGAACCTAATAAGGGACTAATAATAATAATATATATGTCCAAACCAAGTTCACTTTTAACGGTTCGAAAAAATTTGGGCATTGAATATATGATATTCATTATAATGGAGGTTGCTTTTGTATTTCTCAATGAATGAAAAACAAAACGATATTGTTGTTTTTACTGACGTTTCACTATTTAATGCTAATAGCTTCATCAAAGCAGTATTATTAAACCGGAATTTACAAAATCTCAGCATACATATATAACAAAGAGTTCAGAGGTGAGAAAATAGACTTATGTCAAGTTAAAAGGAGGACATATTGAAAGTTAAAATAACAATCAAGATCACTAAATCAAATAACAAAGGTACATCTGTTATGATATCAAAACAAAGTTTATTAACTTGATCATCGTTCGTTAGTCAATGGGGTCATTTTTCGTTGTCAAGTTGGTCAATTGGTAAAGATAACAAAACCAGGTGTAGATTGTTGGATTTGATCAGTGTTTAAAATTATAAAGGCAGTGTGTGTTTACATATTGAACTTGCATATCACATTCGTGTTGATTTTGTCACTTGATGGGGGAGGGAGGTGTTGTAATCAGGTCAGATTCTGTTTCAGTCCATCCTTCCTATTCAAACAATTGGATTCCACTTGATATGAAGTGCTTCTGATATTAGACGTTCTTCGTGATCTCTGAAATCTTTCTCCTGGATTATTTCAATATTGTCAGAATCAATTTTGTGGCCTGATTCTATAGCATAGTGTGTAGACGAGCTATGGCTGATGATTTTTCAAGCTTTTCTAGTTTACTAACTGGATTTCTTGGTGGTCAAACGGATGCTCTACGGTTTTCATTTCTTCTGATTTTGATTTCTGGAGATGTTTGTCCGATGTACATCGCATCACATTCCGAGCAGGCATTTTATTTTATAGACACAATTAGATAGAGATTCTTTAGGGATCTGGTCCTTTAATCTGGACAAGGTTGTTTCGTAGTGTGTCTGATGTATTGAAGAAAACTCCAATGTCGAGCTTATTGAGTACTCTTCTGATATCATCTGACTCATTCCGCTCGACATTAGAGTTTTCTTGAAAACATCAGACACATTACGAAACCACCTTCTCCATATAGAAGAGCAAATCCCTCAAGATTGTCTATCTAATTGTGTCTATAAAATAAAATGCTTGCTCGGAATGTGATGCGATATACATTGGACAAACATCTCCAGAAATCAAAATCAGAAGAAATGAAAACCGTAGAGCATCCGTTTGACCACCAAGAAATCCAGTTAGTAAACTAGAAAAGCTTGAAAAATCATCAGCCATAGCTCGTCTACACACTATGCTATAGAATCAGGCCACAAAATTGATTCTGACAATATTGAAATAATCCAGGAGAAAGATTTCAGAGATCACGAAGAACGTCTAATATCAGAAGCACTTCATATCAAGTGGAATCCAATTGTTTGAATAGGAAGGATGGACTGAAACAGAATCTGACCTGATTACAACACCTCCCTCCCCCATCAAGTGACAAAATCAACACGAATGTGATATGCAAGTTCAATATGTAAACACACACTGCCTTTATAATTTTAAACACTGATCAAATCCAACAATCTACACCTGGTTTTGTTATCTTTACCAATTGACCAACTTGACAACGAAAAATGACCCCATTGACTAACGAACGATGATCAAGTTAATAAACTTTGTTTTGATACCATAACAGACGTACTACTATTACCTTTGTTATTTGGTTTAGTGATCTTCATTGGTATTTTGACTTTCAATATGTCCTCCTTTTAACTTGACCTAAGTCTATTTTCTCACCTCTGAACTCTCTGTTATATATATGCTGAGATTTTGTAAATTCGGGTTTAATAATACTTTGATAAAGCTATTAGCAGCAGCATTGAATAGCGAATTGTCAGTAGAAACAACAATATCGTTTTTTCATTCTTTGGGAAATAAAAAAACCTTTATAATAATTATAATAGTCATGATAATAATAATAGTTCTAACAAGTGTGCGTATCTTCCTCTCCCCTCCACTCTCAGTGGATGCAAGCTGTTCCTACTGAAACTTCTCAGCCTTGAAGAAGTGGTTTCAAAGCAGTACCAAGCAGTTTTTCCGCTGGGCTACTGTGTCACTCACTATACCTTCACCTGAAGGCTTCGGAAAATTTCAACAAAGGCTGAGGAATTCAGTTAAATGAAACTAATCGACACATTAAACATATAGATGCTCGCTAGTGACTTGCTACGGGATGCAGTTTTCTGGAGTTAGTTCTAGTGAGAAGTCGTGACCAGTGAGGTCCAATTAGATGTCACGTGTGAGGATGGATGTCCCAACAACGACAATGGTTGGGGTCGCGCCAAATCACGAATTGGTAGAAGTTAGAATTCATGAGCCATTGAATCGGGTCCCAGCGGCTGAATGGTATTCGAGCTTGCCTTGTAAGCAGAAGGTCCTGGGTTCGAATCCCAGTGGGTGCATACTGCTGGTGATTTCCAGACTAGGATGAAACAGCAGCTGTCCGGTACTCCCTGGTTTTCAGTGGTTCTCTAACTAATATCAGTCCGTGATCAACTCGTAAAAAATATAGATTTTGATTATAATAATAACAATAATTATAATTATAATAAAATGTTAGTTGCACAACTTACCGAAAGCTAACAGCATAAGTCTAGGACCTAAATCTCTTGCAGGATTCAAAGCACATCCAGCATTCAATGCAAAAGCACCGACTAAAGCATAAACCATAAAGGCGATATGCAGAGGATGTAAATAGTCGGGTAGTTTCCATCCATTCGGATCAGAAATAGCCAATGCACCAGCTGCCAACAGCGCTGTACCAAGTACTTGATCAAGAAAACACGTCAAGTGTGATGCACCAGGATTTGTGACAAATATTCCCCCAGTTGAATTCAACAACAATTTCCCACCATCATTCATATGCGCATAGAGGAGAATTTTCTCCCGATAGACAAGGAATATCACGATTGCACCAACAAAAGCTCCGAGTATTTGACAGATAGTATACAAAAGAACCCGTCGAAAGGGTACTTTTCCAATCAAGCTAAACGCCAGTGTAATCGCTGGATTTATATGCCCTGAACCACATTTTCCAGAGAAAAACACTCCCATATAGACAGCAAATCCCCAACCCATACTGACAGAGATAAATGTCCCATGCGCTTGTTTCCCGTTATCGCCAAGAAACACCTGTGCCATAACACCACAACCAAAGATGATCAGGATAATTGTACCAAGAAATTCAGCGAGGCAGGCACGAACCAGCGGTGCTGAAGATAGCCGCATACGATCCGCTAGCCTGTGTTGACCTGCAGCATATCTCTGAGAGCAGGAGACCATGTTTTCTCGTCGTCTCTGTGATAGTCTATAACTTCGAGATGGAGTAATTTTTAAGAGGGTTATATTTTTTCAACAGCAAAAAAGTCTCCAGTTTATAAAGGTTAGTTTGTTTTGGAGGGTGTGCGTGTGCGTGTGCGTGTGTGCGTGTGTCCGTGTTCGTGTTTGTGTGTAAGGCTGTATCCCCGTTGTGTATATGTATGCGACAGAGTCCGAGATCAATGCTGATGTGAATAGTGGTGTCGCAGATCAAAAGTGATCAAAACTGTTGACCCAATGATGAGACGACACAAAAGGGGTTTAAATAGAAATTAAAGTACTATGAATGATACCTATATATATATATATATATATATATATATACAGCACTCTCTCTCTCCCTCCTCCACCCCCCTACCATCACCACCGAAAACACACATACACGCACACATGCTCAAACACAAAGTGGGGTAATGGTTTAATAATTATAATCCATTACTATACTTATGACAACAAAACTAGTGGTAGTAGTACCGACACATACTTTAAGCGTCAATCATTTGAAAATCACATTTTTAAAATTTTGTCTTTCAAGGCTGTGTTCACATACTGCACACAGATACTTTTTACCAGTAATCATTAATATACTAAAAATAGAAGTAGAAGGCTAACATTTCAAAAAAAAAAACAACCCAGTATGGATCAGTAGACTGTAAAATACAGATCAGTGTGAAAATGTTTTAAATCAGGAGTCTACTGCTACCACTACTACTACTATTATTGTAATGGTGGTGTGATACAGACTCTGTGTATTATTATTATTATTATTATCGTATCCTTTAATTCCTAGGGGAACATAGGTCTTCAGCCATGCGTCTCCATTGCGTTCGGTTCTCTGCTAGAGTCTTAACCTGGCTCCAAGTCTGCCCACACACACGCTTTCGTCTCCTCTTCACATGACCTCCTCCAAGTCACACTTGCACTGACGAACAACTCGCCGCTTCCCTTCCGGCTTCCGCTCGAGCAATGGCTTGTCTAGTGATGTCACTCACTTGATGGTTTCCTCAGAGTATGGCCAGCCAATCCATCTCCATTTCTTCCTGCATATTTGTTTCACAATCGGTTCCTGGTTGGTTCGCTCCCAGAGATCTCTGTTGCTTATCAACTCTGGCCATCTGATCTTGAGTATTGAGCGAAGACAGTTAGCTGTTAATGAAGGTCTGTAGTTTGTTTGAGATGCTCTTTATGACGCGCCAAGTGCAGAGTAGCACTGACTGACTTCACATTGGAGTTGAAAATCCGGATCTTATTTTTGACGCTGAATGCTGTTGACCTCCACACAGACTTGAGAGTAGTGAAAGCTTGTCTTGCTTTTCCGATTCTTGCTTTGATATCCTCGTCAGTTCCGCCCGCCTATAGTTGAAACGATGCTTCCCAGGTAGATAAGTGAAGGAATTTGTTTCTTTCAGGTTCCTCCCATTTATGCTGATTGTTGTCTATTGTTGCTGTTGGTGGTGTTACACAGGAATCTTCTTCTGCGAACTTGTTGCTTTTCGCTTGCATATCTTCCAGTTTGTGGGAAATCAGACATATATCATTGGTGAAATCCAGATCCTCCAAGTTTTTGTGTAGGTCCATTTTATGCCTGTTTCCTCATTGCCCGCCACTGTCTGTCGCATTATCCGATCTACTGCAATCAGGAAAATCATTTGCGATAGTAGACAGCTAGGTTGTCTTACTCCTGTCCTCACTTCGAAGGATTCCGTAAGTTTCTTGTTGTGGATTACTTTGCATGCAGCATTGTCGTACAACTGTTGGATGAGATGTATAATTGTCGGTGGCACAGACTCTGTGTGCCAACAGAATATTATTATTCTCACATGAACTCTTATCTATGAGTGAGGGGCAGCAGTCCCTGTGCCAGTCAATTAAACACACACACACCAACTAGCCGTTATTTACGCGCAACTTCGAATACATCGCCCCCTCGCCCAGCAATCTCCTTCACAATCAGCCTTACTACTTCTAGTCTCTGAGAATAGAAAGAAGACACAGTATATCTTTATAAAAACTTTTTTTCCTGTCATCTCTCCACGGAACGGTTTTTCCAGTGTCCCAGTTTACCGTATGCAAAAAAACACTGGTCTCTCCTCAGGTTCATTCTCAACACGGCTGCTTCACTCTGAAACTCTTCAATTTGTTGCTCACACTGCCTGGCTTTTAATTACTCTGTCGTGACACCTTTTGCAAGCTCCCCAATATCCAGTGTCTGTACGGCGTGAATTAGATGTGGCTGTTAAGATGTTATGTTCTGGAACACTCTCCACAAACTGAGACGCTAAGATTTGTGCCTCAGAATCTTCGTCCAGTGTTGACAGCGCACGAAGCAGGGTCAGTGTCAATAGAAGAGGATCATCGTTAACTCTCATCTTCGTGGTAAGAAACTGCTGCATCACCCGCTGTCTGTCCATCGGGCTGTAAAACTTCTGCTTCAAGCGTTCAGCTACTGAATTCCAAGTTGCTTGGTCTTCTCTTTACTTCACACTATTATATACTGCCTTCGACTGACTTCTCAGCAGCGTTGCAAGTAAAACATCTGTTCGCTAACGGATCTCGAATGCCATTCAACTCCGCAACAGCTTCGAAGTCCTCCCAAAAGATCTATATGTCTCCTTCTTTAAAAACTGCAGGACACAGGCTGTTCATTTCTCTACAGGTAGAGACACCACATGTGACAACAAAAGGCAAAACACGGAAGTCAAGCTGTATTTTCAATTGATCAAACAGCTTTTTATATCTATACAGTTTATATTCTTTAACAAATCAATGTTCGAGTGATTTTGGTTCACACTAAACGACATGAAACAGAAAGTTCAAATAGATATATCGTATTTTGTTGCTAATGCTGAATTGAACTGTAGGAATATGTGAGAATAATATTCCGTTGGAACCCAATGTCTGTATCACATCACCACACTTTTACTACTGACAGTCCTTGTATTATTTGATACCAGTGATACTTTTTTTCTATGTAATTCTTTAATAATCTTAAGCTCCTCATTGAGGCAGTCGCCTGAACAGATTAACCTGGATCTATGAATCAGACACTTTACCAGGTTACGTTTATATTTCAAAGGTACAAAACTTAAAAAATGAGTGTACTGACCTGTTGTTGTAGGTTTCCTATACACCCTCCTTCTTAGTGTGGATTTAATTGCCTGATGAAGTCATGTTTTTGGTTTGACCACTACTAACTCTTTCCTAACCTAATCATAGGTCAGCCAACATCATTTGACGAGGAACCCAGCATCCTACCCGTCTCAAAATATATTGCTTCACAACCTCATCGAATGACTTACCCTCCTTACCTAATACTCTTTGGCTAATATCAATACTGCTCACTACATGATACTACCACCTAACATGAGAGATAAAACGTAGACATCTACGGTCAAAGACAGTCGGCCTTTTCATATATACTCATTACACGATTCAGACAAATTACGTCTTCTTATTGCTTTATCTAAATTCATAAAGGGAAAGAAATTTGCCTATATTGAGTCATAAGAAAAAGGAGACGTAAACAGCGAAGAAAATTTTCTTATATTTGACAAAGAATGTATAAGACCAGCCAGATACTGGTAAAATTTGTCCTCATTTAGACATTTGGAAAACAGAAAGATTGAGCGAAGAAATATTTACCTTTCTATTAGATCCTCTTCTCTGGCTCTACTCTAATATATATAGCATTTTCACAATACACAACAATTTACCAAACAAGTGGTGATATGTTTGTTAACAGTAATTAGTCAGTGTCCAAATGTCAATTGGTTGATAATAAACGAAGAAAACCAATGCATATTTAAAAGGTAGAAATGGTTAGAATAAATTAATTTTACAAGGATAACACGTAATTAAAGATGAAGTGGTCAGAAAAAATAATAAAATAAATCGGACAATTATAATTTTTATTATTTTAAGGGTTTAGGGGGAGGAGGCGAAGTAGTCCGGTTCACACATTCATGCAACGATGGCCACGGTAAGGAAAGTGGCTGTACAAACTTCTTCTGTACACATAGGCTTGGCTTCTTCAGGTGAGTTCCGATTGCTTCAAATATAGAGCAAAATTAAGATTATTAGGAATGCTGTAGATAATTTTAAATGCTTTATTAACATCAACCTAATTTTATGCACCTAGGAGAGTCAGTATAGCAACAGTTCCGAAAAAACCAAATGTTCATAAAATTGCAGTTCCTCGGTGACAGCATCAGTGAAATCATAACACAGCGCTTGAAGAATGCAGTTAAAAGAGCTTATTATGCAGCAGAGGTACGTTGCCTCTTCAAAACCACCCCTATTCTACTTTCGAGAAATAAGGATGAACTACCTAAATTTGCCTCTTATATGTGTATCTACCAGTTTGACTACAGCTGCGGAGCCAGCCACATTGGGCATACAATTAGGCAGTTTCATCGTCGTATTTCTGAACATCGTCCAGCGTGGTTAAGCAAGGGACAAGCAAGATCTATTCGTAGCTCTATTGTACCACACCTTGTTGATACTGAGCACAAGGTTGATGTGAATACTGCATTTAAAACTATCTATCGCATTCCTACTAATCTTAACTTTGCTCTACGAGTTCGTCTTCTACATACGACTGCTGAAGCAATTGAAATCCACCTGAAGAAGCCAAACCTGTGTGTACAGAAGAAATTTGTACAGCCACTTTCCTTACCGTGGCCATCGTTACATGACTATATAAACCGGACTACTTCGCCCTCCTTCCCCTAAACCTTTAAAATTATAAAAATTATAATTGTCCATATTATTTTATTTTTATTTATTTTGACCACTTCATCTTTAATAACCTGTTATCCTTGTAAAATTAATTTATTCTAACCATTTCTGCCTATTAATTGTGTGTAATAATTTCCATCGTTAATTATCACCTCACTGACATGTTGACACTGGCTAATGATTGTTAACAAACGTATCAGTGCCACTTGATGATTGGTAAACTGTTGTGTATTGTAATACAAATGCTATGCAGAATATATTAGAGTAGAGCCAGAGAAGAGGATCTAATAGAAAGGTAAATATTTCTTCGCTCAATCTTTCTGTTTTCTAAATGTCGAAATTGGGATTTTTTCTTCTTTATGAATTCTGCAAGTGATTTTCTCCGACAAATTTCTGATCATTATGTTCACTTTTATTAGCACTGATTGTATCTTTGATCTGTTATGTGATTTTACTTGCCTGATAATAAAAGCTAACAGTGGAATACATGTTTGAGCATTTTATTCTGTTTGGAACTTCTCAACTGAATT